TTTATTATTATTATTATTACTATTATACATTTTTGAAAAACAAACCTTTCTTTTTCATCATATTTGTTGTGTATGCACAGTATATTGTCTTTAATTGTGGTATGTATTTAAAGTTGGAAATTTAGTTTTTTCCTTTGAATTTACTAAGTGTTTTGGGTGAGAGTAAATAGTGTAACTGTAAATGGTCAGGTAAAGAAACCTACAAATGACAGTATTGCAACACATGTAAATGCATTGCATTTTAAATTCAGAAAGCAACTGCATGTGAAATCAAGTGTTTGTCCTGATAAATAAAAATTATTTGGGCCTTAGATATAATACTCACCAACTTATAAACTCGTATTCTGCACACATACAAAGCAGTGTAGTTGAAGTGTAATGCTTGCTGTTCAAAATTACCCAAGCCGCTGGTGTAAAACCATTATCCGTGTCACCACAAACTTCAACCACACACTCAGTATGAAACTTGAAAGAGCATGTGATTTCTCCACCCACATGCATGATCTCTGAAGCCCACGAAGGCTGTCAGCATCAGTTAGGTTCATCAGACACTGTATATTAAATTCAGAATGTATTTCAAGAATCAGAATGCAATGATTTACTCCGAAACATGCATGTGGTGTGTTTGTGGTAGGCTGGCCGGGCGCACCTTATTCTGTAGATATATGTGAAGGTCTGGAGGACTGGAGTGGAGCAAACAGCCTCTCTAACCCGTCTGACACTGAGGAGGAGGACGCCGCACATCTGGTAAGAGACGAACATCCCACACTCACTCAGTCACTAACTCATGTAGGGCGACACTTGTTATTTTTTACTTATACTTAACTTATCTGTTTGTTTTAGGTTGCAGGCAGATACAGGGCCTTCGTCGACTGGCGTAAAAATGGGACGGATAACTTCATCATTAGGTGTGGTGATGTCATACAACTACAGCATGAGGAAAATGATGGCCAGTGGTGAGTGATGTGCGAGCTTAAAGGAATATAAAGCGATATTCTGGGAAAAATGCAACTCAAAGAGATAGTTCATTCAAAAATGATGACAATTCTGTCATCATTTACTCGTCCTCATGTTGCTCCAAACCTCTACGACTTAACATAAAAGAAGATACATGTGACCCTGGAGCACAAAACCAGTCTTAAGTCGCTGGGGTATATTTGTAGCAACAGCCAAAAATACATTGTATGGGTCAAAATTATCGATTTTTCTTTTATGCCAAAAATCATTAGGATATTAAATAAAGATCATGTTCCATGATGATATTTTGTAAATTTCTTACTGTAAATATATTAAAGCTTAATTTTTGATTAGTAATATGCATTGCTAAGAACTTCATTTGGACAACTTTAAAGGCAATTTTCTCAGTATTTAGATTTTTTTGCACCCTCAGATTCCAGATTTTCAAATAGTTGTATCTCGGCCAAATATTGTACTATCCTAACAAACTATACATCAATGGAAAGCTTATTTATTCAGCTCACATGTGATGTATAAATCTCAATTAAAAAAAAAATGACCCTTATGACTGGTTTTGTGGTCCAGGGGTCACATATTGAGAAATGTCTCATTGGTACAATTGGAAGTCAAGTGGAAATCAGTGGTAACCAAAGCTATTTGGATACAAAAATACTTGAGAGAGAATGTGATACAGGTTTGGAAGAATATGACAATTGATTATTGAAATGTTATTTTTGGGTAAACTATCACTGTTTGAGAACATCCTGATTTTGAATGTTTGAAATGTGAAGTCTTACAGGAAATGTAGTCCCATATCAAGAAGAACAATTTAGTCAACTTTACTAGGATTGGGCAAAATTCAGAATTACTGTAGATCCCTTTCAAATGCAAAAGTTGATTTAATGGTCAAAAATTACAGTTACAGTTTATGAATTTTCTTTCATTATATTCCTTCTTTTGAAAATTCAAATTCTACATCTTCTTTGTAACCTTAATTCTAATTCAGGAATTTAATTGGAGTTTAAAGGGCATTTTCAGTTCAATATTACATGATGCAAAACCCTGAACTTTAAAGACAAAAATTACTCGAAGTGTAAATATGAGGATTTGGTAGGTATCTGAAAACGTCACAGTTATTGAACTGAACTAAATCAACACTGAACTTACTGGAGCTATTGCTTTTTTAGATTTAGATTTCTCTTAGGTTTTATGCAGCTGGCATCACTGATTTCTGTTACTTTCCTGTTTAATAATGTGAAGCTGCTACAGATACTGCTGTGTAAATAAAGGTGACTTGACTTTCTTTATGAGTGAACTTTTTTCTGTGGTACCTATAGGTAAATTGAACCAGATTAAATGCATTAGCTCAAAAACACAAATTTCGTGGCACTAAAGTGGATTTAGATATTGGTTCGGTGTGAATCAGTATAGCTGTGTACTCTCACAGGCTGGTGAAGAATCTGAGTCGCAGACAGGAAGGCCGTATCCCTACTGCCAACCTGCAGGGCATCCTGGGAGAAAGCCTCAAGAATCACTCCAACCGGCTTGGAGGTGAGAGTCCATTTGGACATCCGCTGCCTTTTTAGTGTAGTTCCCAGAAAAGATGAGTTTGCTTAAAATCCATACTGCCATATTTTCTGTGCAGACCCAGGGAATCGTAAAGCACGGAAGCTCAGCTCGCCATGAAGGAATGGCCCAGTTCAATATTGGACCTTTAATATTCACGCTTGGTAGCTCAGACTGTATGTGACTACATGGATTTAGACCTATATTCCAGAGTTTTTGCACTGCTCCTCATTGACAGATGCTACCAAAATGCAAAAGACAAAGCATTTCACATCTTACAAGAGATCTCCACCATTTCAGAAAACCCAGAGAGCGCTTTTAAACATCTGTCCTCTGCCTAAACACACTTCAGTCCTCCTGACTAGGTGAAGCCTAGAACATTCTGACTCTGGGATTGTCCCAGTAGACTTTGCAGTTGTTGAATAATGAATCAAGGCCCATCAAAAGGCCTCTTCGTCGCTGTCTTCACGGTTAACCCTCTCCTATGAAAACATCCTGTTCATAAAGGACCGTAATTTTTAAACTGTGTTTGTTTGTGCTGTTATTTATCTTGTACTGTTGTATTTATCCTCAGTCTGAGCTCTTCCCGAGAGCTTCAATGCCAAATCATGCAGTGCCATAATGCCTGTTTCCCCACTTTTTATTTAAAGCAGACTTTGCTCAGTAGTGCACTAGTTACCTCAAAAAATATTTAAAAGCACTTTATTCGGGTCACAAATTTGTGGCTCTTTGTGTCTTTCTACAGCTTTAAACCGGATGAATTTTGCATGCCGTCAATTCTTACCTCTCTTATTTAGTAAAATTCTCTTGTCAGGCACTTTACATGCAGAATCTACTCTACCAGCTTGAAGACCTGGGGGCTGTCATGTAAGTTGACTTTGGAGCCACAAATATGAGTTGAGCGCATGTGTGTTGAAATCTGCTAAATCAGAGCCGTGTTGATGGAGGTTTCTTATTAAGGGAGATCATACAGCAAACATTAAATATACCCACTGTTTAGAATGCTTAATGAAATATTAATTGCAGACTTATATGAATTTACTACATTAAATCAGGTCTACAGTTGGAGGGCTGACTTTGATATACCAGCGTTTGAAGTGGAAATGAGCTGTGTAGCAGCAGGAGACGTTTTGGAGTGCACATCTCTTATGTTATTAATTTTGTTATCAAGTTGTTCCCTTCCAGCGTGGAGCTCCAGCTACCCACTCAAAATCAAGCCATGTAAAGGACACAACTGCCTGTACTGTGCTGTATTAGCCATATATACTATCAACTTTGCATATTTGCTTATTCGTGTCCAAATGTCTGAGAGCACATTGAAAATCTGGGAATCAGAATTTCATGATCATCAGGGTTTTTTCCATCAATTTCAAGTTCATTTTGTAAATGTAGTTTTGCACTCAGAAGTAATGCTAAACAAAAGCATTTTCACTAATGGTCTCAGACCTTTGGACCTCACTTTATCTAATAGCATTTAATCCTGTTTTTTGTTTTTGTTTTGTTTTTTGGGGGACTGGCTTATAAATTATTTTTGAAGGAATGTATCTGTGTTGACTATTGTATTGTAACAATATTGTATTTAAATTTGTACAGCCTATTGAAATAAATAAATAAGTTTTAAATAAAACTATTTAATAGTAAAATAATTTGTGCCTAAAATATATACGTAGTATTATTATTTAACTACTCTAGTGTTTAAACGTTTGGGGTCGGTAAGATTTTTCAACGTCTGCTGACCAAGCATTTATTTGATCTGAGCATATATTGAATACAGTAAAAACTGTAATACTGTGAAATATTATTTTCTATTTTAATGTATTTTAAAATGTAATTTATTCTTGTGATTGCAAAGCTTCATTTTCAGCACCATTACTTCAGTCTTCAGTGTCAAATGATCCTTCAGAAATCATTCTAATATGCTGATTTACTGCTCAAGACATATTACTTATTAATGTTGAGAACTGCTTAATATTTTTGTGGAAACTGTGTTACATTTTTTAGGATTTTTCAGGACCATTTATTTGAAATAGAAATCTTTGGAACATCAATGTCTGTACTGTATCCTCTTTGAATGAAACGCACTTCTTTCCAAAGAAAAAAAAATCTTACTGACCCCAGATGTTTAAGCGGTAGTGTATATTTTAATTAGTACAAATATATTAATAATGATTTTTAGAATTAGACATTTTAGAGTCAAAGGCACATATACATCATAAACATCAACTGTGTTGTTATCTCCCAGAGACTGGCCTCAAATGATGAAAGGGTCTTTCACGGGTGAGATGTGAGTGATCTGATGCCTCCAGGGTTTATGGGTAAGATCCAGTGATTTTCAGAACTAGGTCACGAGTCTTAAAGAACGCTGTTGAAATCGGTAACACTTTACTTGAAGGGGTGTGCATAAGACTGACATGACACCTTCATAATCATGACATGACACATGTCATGAATATGAAGGAGGTTTTATGCATGTTTATGACAACTGTCATTGAGTGTCATATGCTCAGTTATGTAATTTTTAATGCAAATATGACATTATTTGACCGAACCCTACCCCTATCCTTACCCCTAACCATAGCCCATAACAAAGACATCTCAAACAATGTCATCTTTGCATTAAAAATTACATAACTGAGCGAATGACACTTAATGACAGTTGTCATAAACATGCATAAAAAACCCTTCATATTCATGACATGTGTCATGTCATGATTATGTAGATGTCATGTCATGATTATGAAGGTGTCATGCCAGTCTTATGCACACCCCTTCAAGTAAAGTGTAACCTTGAAATCTTAAGTAGGTTTCTAGTGTCAGATATTTTCAGTCAACCCCCCTCACGTTCCTCCAGTTTTCCCTCTGAAGGCAGTTGCAGCTCAAAGCTTGAGAGGCTACATTTTTTTCTTCTTTCTGTCTGAATGAGAGATTGAGTTCTCAGTCAAGAAACCTTAGCAGGTTCTAACCATGTAGCAAGGCAGTATATTGCTTAATAACATACCAGCTTTCATTAAACCACAGGTGAAAACAGTGTGTCTATGGACTATTAAATGTCCTAATGGGACAGTGAAGGTACTAAACCATGAATGCTGCACAGGGTTTATTGATGGAATCTCATTGGCCAGCCAGGACTTGGGGGCGGGGCATGACTACAATCTGTTACAGATAACGAACAATCTAATTGTATTTATTTCACCTGATTAAACAAGTGCATCTTTTCTCTCCAGATTTGAATACTCCATGTGTGCAGATGAGATTTTAAAATGAGAATCCTAGATCATAGGTCCACATTTTTAAGCAGCACTCCCTTGGTAACACCCATGATGTGCTGTATCCAACGATAATAGTTACCAACCTGTGTGTACACACCGTACTTCCCTTTCTTGGCACATTCTTCTCCCCAACTGACAATGCCTGTGAGGAACCAGGTGTTGTGGTAGCGCATGGCATGAGGTCCTCCGCTGTCCCCCTGACACGCGTCTTTAGGAGAATCTGAGTATCCAGCACAGAACATGAAGTATGTGACTGGGTCACTGCTGCTTTCCTTACACACTGTTCTGTCTACATAAGGCAACTCAACCTTCTGTAGGTTCACTGCACTTCGGCCTTGAAAGCGCAGACGGCCCCAGCCGCTGACAGTAGCCAGAAATCCAGACTGCAGCAGTGAGTTGGAGAAGAGCATGGGTCCCAGGCAGATGGGACGTACAGTTAGGGTAAACTGGATGGGGTTGCGCAGCCGCAACAAGGCAATGTCATGATTGTAGAGGCTTACTTTGGAGTCATAACGGGGATGTGAGATGAAACGGGTGACGTTCAGATTCTGTTCTGTGCCTTCAGTCTTGGAGACATCATGCTCCCCTGTGAAGCATAGTTGTTTAGTTTAGTAACATTATTAATAACTGGTCTTACCATTGTAAAAATTTCAGGAAAAAAATATCTAAAGAATATATTTTTTTTAAAGAAAAGAAAGATACATTTACCTGAGATGCAATGTTGCATATAAGATCATGTTTGTTTTTTAAAGAATTGTTTTATGCTCGCCAAGGCTATATTTATTTGATACAGTAAAACCACTAATATTGTGAAATATTTTTACAATTTAAAATAATTAAGTGAAAATAAGTTCTCTGTTAGAATGTATTTTAAAATGTAATATTCCTGTAATTTTCAGCATCATTACTCCAGTCTTCAGTGTCACATGATCCTTCAGAAAGCGTGCTATTATTTATAGTCTATTGATTTGGTGTTCAACAAATATATCATCGTATTAATAATGGTGAAAGCAGCTGTGCTGCTTCATATTTTTGTGGAAACCTTACATCGCGAGCTGGGACTCGAACTCGGGACGCCCGAAGCCCAACTGCGCAGTTTTTAAATATTTTATAAATTTAAATATTGGCACCATACAGCAATTAATTAATTGAATCAGTATTTCCATAGCTGCTGTTCTGGTCTTACCAACTCTGATGTAGAAGGATCCATTCTGAGTCCCTACCAGACAGTGGGCTGCAGTAATGACCCATAACTGGTTAAGAATGGAGCCTCCGCAGAATATCTGGTGTGTTGAGCGCGCCACCAGCGCCACCTAGAGATCAGCAGGATAAATGACATGATTTTGGGTGCATAAACAGATTGCGTTGTAGTAGATGTGCCCGTAACTCACTAATTTACTCAGAGATGATTTGATCAAAGGCATTTTTGATTGCTATAGCACATAATATTTATAGTCTTTACCTGCCAAGGGATTTCTCCAGGTAAAGCTGGATTGCCACCAACAATACGGCTTTTTGGGGCACTTACGGTTGGTACAGGAGTCATCAAATACTCCTCAAATGCCCATTTAGGGAGTTTTACATGAGATGGCGCGATTTTCTCTTTTTTCTGTTTAGAATTTGAAGGGCTTGTCAAGTTGTCCGGTTTGGAAGTGCTGGATGTGGATTTATTGGAAGATTGTGTAGAGTTTGGTGCAGACGTTGGACCGCTGGCAAAAGTTCTCACAGCTGTTTTAGTGACTTTGCCACATGGAAACTTAACTAGTGACACATAAAAAAATATATATATATATTTGTTGTTGTTAAATGTTTTGCATTAAAACTTTGCTTGCAGTGCCTTTCTTAAAAAAAAAAAACTACTAGTACTTTAAGAACGAAAGTAGCCTAGCTCTTTCAGATGTTTCAATCAAGACATTAGGAATCTAAGAAGTCATTAAATCACCTATAGGTTCACATGTGAATCCATCTTCTTTGAGTCTGTAACCGGATGCACACCGACATCCTGTCTCATGAGACTCCATCACAACACAGAAATGCTCACAGCCTCCATTATCAACATCACACATTTTGCCAGTTACTGAGAAACAGCACACAGCATCTTTTTAATTATCTTCAGGAATGTAATGGTCATTCATTCATTCTAGCTAAATATGGTGCACTGTGTGTTTGAGGGAAGAGAGATCCTGTCTAACCTATTTCACAGTTTTTGCCGACATAGCCCGGTAGACAGTTACAGGTGAATGTGCCCATCTGGTCCTCACATGTGCCTCGGTTTTGACAGGGTGATGATTTACACTGGTCCCCATCTAACAGACAGGATCATTTATTAACAACTGGTAAGAAAAAATGTATAGAAATAATGTGCTTTATTCAAATTCTGGAAGAGGGAACAGAGGACGGAGATTCAAATCCAGTTTAAATTATTTTAATCATCTGTCTAATTAAATGTTACCCAAATGCATCGTATTTCCTGAGTTTTATTTGCTAAGTTTAAGAATATAATGATGTCCAGTTCAAATATAATTTAATTTATTGATCCAATAGCTACCTAAACATACATCATAAGAATGTTTTTAACCTTAAACTAATTTCTGGCCAAAATACATGTCCTCTATCCATAATGATGCTTCCTCCTCTAGTGAAAACATTCATCCCATGTAGTCCTCTCACATCAAAATCCATCAACATATTTGTTTAGAACCGGTTTTGGACTGTTTTCGCTTGTAAACGGTGCTTGATCTGTGCATGTTTCTCTATTGATGCAGGCAAGACAGAAAGAATCATGAGAGAAAGCATTATTATGGATAGAGCACTTTCGATTTTGCTGGAAACAACCGTTTTGATGATCGATATGATTATTACAAGCATGCAGCTTTTTGCTTCAAGGATGGACTGAATTACTTGTGGATTATTGTGATGTTTTTATCAGCTATTTGGACTCTCATTCTGACGGCACCCATTCACTGCAGAGAATCCATTGGTCAGCAAGTGATGTAGCCTAATGCTAAATTCCCCAAAAATCTGTTCCAATGAAGAAACAAACTCATCTACATCTTGGATGGACTTGGGGTTAGTACATTTGAAGCAAATTTTCATCTTTGGGGTGAACTGTTCTTTTAACATATAGAGATGTTCTCCTGTTTGCCCTTGGTAAATATGACGGTCAATGATTAAACACACTTACCAACATAACTTGCCCAGAACTCCATCTGAAAAACAGACCAAACGCACATTTGCTATATTACACAATGCATGACAACTGACGAAACCACATCTTGTCTACTCACTGTCTTTTCATCATTT